TTGATCTGTTCACACTGGATGGCTATTGTGTTGGCTGTTGTCATTTTTTTATTTGACAATCTAAGGGAAAAAAGGTCAGAGCCCCTGACTAAACAGTCAGGTATTGATGTTTTAAAAATTATCGTGGCACACCAAGAATTGCTGGGATAGAGGGAAGCATGAATAAACCAGAGGTCTTTACTGCAAGAATCTACCTCAAAAATGTTTTTACTTATGGTTTTTAAAAACCACATTATTTTTTTTTTTTAATATATTTTATTGATTTTTTACAGAGAGGAAGGGAGAGAAATAGAGAGTTAGAAACATCGATGAGAGAGAAACATCGATCAGCTGCCTCCTGCACATCTCCCACTGGGGATGTGCCCGCAACCCAGGTACATGCCCTTGACTGGAATCGAACCTGGGACCTTTCAGTCCGCAGGCCGACGCTCTATCCACTGAGCCAAACCGGTTTCGGCCCGTGCTCTAGGTAGCCTTTTCTTGACTCCTCTTGGATAGCTTTGAAACATCAGTGTATTAGGCAGTCCAAGTTGGGGTTTTTTTTTTTAAAAAAAAAAAACTAAACCAAAAGCAGAGTTATATGAAATTACTAGAAAAAAGATGATTTGACAAAATTATTTTAAAATTAAATTAACTGAATGGCCCTGGCTGGTTTGGCGCAGTGGATAAGGCATTGGCCTGTGGACTGAAGTGTCCCGGGTTCGATTCTGGTCAAGGGCACATGCCTGGGTGGTGAGCTCTATCCCCAGTAGGGGGTGTGCAGGAGGCAGTCAATCAATGATTCTTATTATTGATATTTCTCACTCTCCCTCTCTCTTCCTCTCTGAAATAAATAAAAAATAAATATTTTTAAAATTAACTGAAAGGAATGTCCTAGGTGACACATGGACTGTTAATTTTGGCAGAGCCTTTGCGATTAATACAGCCTTAATGCTTCGCCCAGGGCCTAACCCTTAGACAGAAAGCTATGAGCCCATGTTTATTGGGCCAGCGGGCAGAGTCTTCTGTGCAGGCTGCTCTCTGCCTCAGATTTTCTTTCCTGAAAGAGAGGCTTGATTCTCAGATGCTCATTCTCCCAGGTGAGGTCTCAATGCCTTTATCAGTCTAAGAACTTTCCCAACTGAAAAGACAATAATTTCCTGTCTACCTTTCCCAGATCAATTCCTTATGGCTGTACCCCAAGACCCACATTTCTGGGACCTTCCTTTGCATAATTAAAATATCAAATATCTGAAACTTAGCAACAGGAAGATGTGTTTTTTTAATTACAGAAGTGAAAACACAGAGAAACTATTTTAATTTGCTCTGT